ACGGGGGGCGGGGCGCGAGTGGCCGGGGGGGACCCCGCCAGCATCAGGGGGCCATTCACCCCGAAAGCGGTGCTGGGAGAGGGCTCAGCCTGGCAGCTGCCAGTCCCCGCGGGCAGCACGGAGCCCCGGCCCCGTCAGCACGGCCATACGGCGCGTGGGCCATCGCTGCCTGCAGGAAGTGAGCGAGGCACAGGCACCCAGCGCTCCCCGCTGCAGCTCCTCGCTGCGCCCCGGCCAACGTGCCTGAGCACCCTCCTCCGAGGGGCTGCTCGTGCCGCCTGGCACCGTGGGGCTGCCAGCATCCAACGCGGGGCTGGTGCACGTGGCCAGGCCTGGAGAAACCTCCCCGCTCTGCTTCCAGGTCCGGCTCTTCCTGACGCTGGTGTGCATGGCGGTGGTTGCCATGCTGTACGTCCTGCTGTGCTCCCACGCCTGCCTGCGGCCCTGCTGCTGGGCCCCAGAGGAGCAGAGCAGCCCCACGGTACCCACCATCCTCAGCTTCCAGGGGTACAGCCGCGTCCCCGATGGGAAGGTGCGTGGGGATGGGGCAGCGCTGGGGCTGGTGGGGCAGCTCGACCCACCCGTGCCTCAGTTTCCCCTTCCTTAGGGAAGGGTGGATGAGGCTGCGGTGCGTCTGGCCACTGCAGGAGGGAAGGGGGAGCCGATGGCTGACAGTGCATCTCCCTACAGCCACTGGAGCGAGCACTGTGCCGCCGCTGCGCCGTTGTCTCCAGCTCAGGGCAGATGCTGGGCTCACACCTGGGACAGGCCATCGACAGGCAGGAGTGCGTCCTGCGCATGAACCATGCCCCCACCGCCGGCTACGAGGAGGACGTGGGGGCGCGGAGCACCATCCGGGTGGTGTCGCACACCAGCGTCCCACTGCTGCTGAGGAACCAGCCCTACTTCTTCCAGCAGTCCCAGGAGACCCTCTACATCATCTGGGGGCCAGCGAAGAAGATGAACCGGGAGAAGGTGGGCTTGACCTACCAGGCGCTGCTGAAGGTGATGGAGACGTACCCCCACCTGCAGATCTACACCCTGACAGAGGAGAAGATGACATATTGCGACGATGTCTTCCAGAACGAGACAGGGAAGAACAGGTACCACCGGCTCCTGAGGAGCCCCCAGCAGGTGCCCCTGCCATAGCACCTGTCCCCTCTGTCGGGCACCCATAGCCCAGCTGGGACGGCAGCACCGTGCCACCCGCTCCAGCACGATCGCGGTGCTTTGCAGGATGAAGTCCGGCTCCTTCCTGAGCACGGGCTGGTTCACCATGATCCTGGCCATGGAGCTGTGCGAGCAGATCTGCGTCTTCGGCATGGTCAGCGACAGCTACTGCAGGTGCGTGGGAAGCGGTGGGGGCAGGCGCAGGGTGGTCTGGTGTCCCCCCAGGTCCCACGCCCACCCTGTCCCCTCCTGCCAGGGAGAAGAACCACTCGAGCGTGCCCTACCACTACTTCGAGAAGGGCCGGCTGGATGAGTGCAGGATGTACCTGATGCATGAGCAAGCCCGCCGCGCCGGGCACCGCTTCATCACCGAGAAAGCCATCTTCTCCCGCTGGGCCAAGAGGAGGAACATTGTCTTCACCCACCCATCCTGGGAAGGCGGGTAGGGTGCCAGCCGAGGGGTGAGGTGGCGGGGACCCTGGCAGCGGGGCGGCTCTCATCCTGCAACGATGTGTCTCGGCTCTGCCGGTGCCACGGCTGAAAGCCTTTTGCTGAGCCCCGGAGCAGGGAGTCTCCATCTCCGCAGCAGCAGGGCTGCTTCCCCCAGCCAGTGGGTGGGCTGGGACCCCCCATGTCAGTGCACGGGTGGCATTAGCTGGACCCGCGGAGCCCCATCGGCTCCGAACGCCTGCCTGGATGGACCCAGGGTGACCACAAAGGTTTTCCGCCCACTCTACCAGGATGAATATTTAATGCGGGATTAAACATTCACGCTGCTGGGCTCCAGCGCGACACGGGGCGGGAGAGCTCGGCCCTGCCAAGGCCCTGAGCCGGTGCCACTCCCCTGGATGGACCCAGGGTGACCACAAAGGTTTTCCGCCCACTCTACCAGGATGAATATTTAATATGCGGGATTACATTCACGCTGCTGGGCTCCAGCGCGACACGGGGCGGGAGAGCTGCCAAGGCCATGAGCTGGTGCCTCTCCCGGGGATGAAGCATGAAGCCGGTCCTTGACCCACTCGTGCCATGAG